GTGTGTGTGTGTGTGTGTGTGTGTGTGTGTGTGGCAAATGAACAACGACGGTCTTTTTGTTTTAATAGCCTGCCCACATGGTCCTGCTGGCATTGACAATCCACAGTAGAGAAGTTTTTCCAATTTCCTCCTAACTGATGGTCTAAATTGCCTTCTTTTGTTTTAGCGTTTATTTGTTCTTCATCACGTCTTCATACAGGGAGAACAAATGAAGGAGCCTCCTGATGTTCAGTTACAGGGTTTGCAGCAGATTTGTGTAGTTGGATGCCTGTCATTTGCAAAAAATAAAAATAAAATAAAATAAATTGTTCTTTTTATCGACTACTGCCAAACATGATGATCTTTTCTGTGTACATCTACATCAACTGTTAGAGTCAGCCTCATTTAAGCTGGCTGTCACAGCTAATCACACCAAAATGGCTGCATCTATCAGTTGTATAGATACTATGCTACGTTTGGTGTGKTAGTAGCTGTACTACTACCACACCAATGTTTCATGTTTCGTGTGAGATCATTWATAAGGTGATAAATTTCCTTAATTTTGGGAGATTGGAGATCGGCTTCTCATCTACCTCCACAAAGTCTGAAAATCAGAGACTGTCCTCTTTTACTCTGCTGTGAATGCTACCTCATGTCCAGTTAAAGTACAAGTTTGTATTGTTCAATAATTTTCAGTAAAATAAGTTTGGAACATTGAAGGTGCATTGTGACTTTATAACACCTGACAGTGTCTGTTATTTAAAAAATCAGGATAGGACAAAATCGAAATTGACAGGTCAAGTTTTTAAAGGTCAACGATTGACCAGAGAACTGTAATCAGTGCACCCCTAAAGGTTTGTCCTTAATGGCCTGGCTTATATGATCTGGCATGAAAAGGTGATGGGCAACAGATTCCATTAAGAAATGCTAGAACCTTTATGTTTATAATAAAAACCACCCAACTCAAATGTATATATTTTTTATTTTAAATCACAGTACCAGACTGCGGAGGCTTCCTGGATGCGAGCAAAGCGGGTTACATCACCTCCCCTGGTTATCCTCTGGAGTACCCTCCTCATCAGAACTGCCACTGGATCATCACGGCGCCGGAGCCCTCGCAGCGCATCGTCCTCAACTTCAACCCCCACTTCGAGATCGAGAGGCTCGACTGCAAGTAAGATGAGCGAGTAGGAGTTACATCACAGCTGCGGCGTCCACTCTTTGACTTTATTACTCAGTCTGAGTGATGATTTGTGTTGACATTTTTATTAGCCTGCCTTCCGCAGAATCATTTTTTTTTACTTTAAATTAATCATTTCCTTTTTTGAAGCTGGTCTCGTAATAATTCACTGGTTGCGGTTTGGCTTAATTTAAAAAAAACGCGGAAATAATTTCCACATTTTGGCCACAGCAGTTCTAAAACAGCATTTTCTTATTTTTTTTTCTTTCCACATGGTTGTTACTGTTGATGATGCACTGTTTCAGTGTTACMAAAAGCCTCTTCAGGCCAGTTACCAGGTTATATTTGAGGCTACAAGGCTGCAACAACACACATTGATATCCTCCCATCATCTTAACCTGCTTCGTCCTTTCAGGGTCACTGGTGGCCGTGTCCAGCAGTCACTGGGTGAGGGGTGGGGTACACCCTGGACAGGTCACAAGTCCATCACAGGGACACAGAAACAAACCTTGAAAAAAAAACTTTAAAAAAATTAAAAGTTGCTCTTTTTTCTGGGATTTGGGGATTTCTGTGTTTCTTCCATCAGTTAATCTGTTGATTGAAGGTTAAATAAATACTCTGTAATCTTGAAAATATCTGGTATATGAAGAAGCAGAAAAGTTTTGAGGTTCTTTTGACATTATCAAGACTTTAAAGCTGCAGTCTCCCTTCATCTGATAATCAAATACCAAGAGGTTTTTGAACTCAAAAGATATTTTGAGGGGAAAAAAAAACCCAGGATGAAAGAGCTGAATCCTGGTGGGCTTGAAGGGGCACTGGTGTGGACAGAGGAGGAGAATAAACAGGAATGGGTTGGGGAGAAGAAGCAGAAGGCAATGAGACACAGCTGTTTATGTGGATGTATAACCACCTTGGTCAGTTTCCAATCTCAGAGACGTGAGTAATTCAAAGCATAYGGTCATCTATTGTGTTGAGCCTCAAAGGAAATCGGTCTCCATTGTTTATTGCACTTTTATACAACCAGGACCAAGAGAATATTTCACATCTCACCCACTCTGAGTCAGTTTAGTCAGTAAGACGAGATTTATCTGACCAATTTCCCTTTTATGACCGTTTATTTCTCCCTGCTTTGACGTTCTTTTTTCTCCATAAATTCAAGAATTAATAATCCCAGATGGCTTTTGTCGCATTGTTTCGTTTGACAGAGATGGCCAGGAGAGAAATGTTGCTTTCAATAGCTCCGTCTGTGAAAGGATTTTGTAATGATTGTCAGCTCTTTTCATGGGGCTGTGTCATGTTGCGGCACTGAACTGGAAATGTTAATCTCACGTCGGCTCTTTGCGTCTCCGGGTTTCTGTCACTTTTCGTCAGTGGCGAAATAGTGCATAATTATCTCCTTTTGCAACATGTTAGTCGGCTTCAACACCAGCTTCGCAGTGTAAAGGCTGCGGCACGTTGGACTTCCTGCTGAAGTCGTAGTGAGAGCTCAGCTGTTGATAAGCAGTGTGTCAAGCAGATTCTCACAGCCCAAGGCATGCTGGGTAGAAGGAGGCTGAAGTGGGGGGGCGGGGGGGTGACTGAAATACCCCCTGAATTTCTTCTCCCCACAGACAGTTTTATTGGGATAGTTCCTTTTTTTTAGCACTTGCCTGGAGGGTCGAAGGCCTCTGCTTGCCCTCTAACTCCCACTCCCTTCCTCCTGTGTGTATGAGTGTACTGAGGAAAAGTCAGCGAGTGTGGGTGGG